AGACCACAGCCAGTGGTCTTGTTGTGTAAATGTTAATGTTACAAATAATACAGTGATTCGGAATGAATCTGTCATCGTGACTGAATGAGTAAACCTCCTCATTTCAAAACATCAGTGATCTTGCATTGAAATAAAGGATGTTTATAGACAGCAGAGTGACATGTTTGGGCTCCATTAACTATAGATGTGAGTCTTAAATAAACAAGGTCCGCTGTAGACGTTGCGCCAGAATAGGGCTCAGAGTCAGGTTGATGCCTGTTGTGCGTGGCAGTGAAGTTAATCATGCTGGTGCTTTGTCTACCTTCACGATTCCAAACTAGGGGAAAGTTCAGGACAAACACACGCTATCTTGTTTAAGCAGATGCATTTGAAACGTCTTCAGAAAAGCATGTTACATATTGTTCTAACAGTCAGTGTCAATCGGTGTGATTTGTATTGGGGCATAGTAATAAGAGTGACTTTTGTGTGTTTGAGTATTTAAGAAAGATTCAGCAATTTTAGGTGGGTTTAAACTTTATTATTTTGAAAGGTAAAAAATATATATATTTTTTTTTTGCTGTGTGTTCACAAAATGTCACTGTTTTTTATATTATATATATATATGTTTTTTTCCCGCAGCATATTAGATTGACTTTTGAATGTGACACTGAAGACTGGAGTAATGATTGATAAAAATTCAGCTTTGCCATCACAGGAATAAAGTACATTTTAAAATATATTTAATAGAAAAATATTTTTTTAATTGTGATGTTTCATAATATTACTGCTTTTACTATAATTGTAGCATCAGTGAGCATAAGTTCTTTCAAAATCATTAAAAATCTTGACACCAAACTTTTGAACAGTAGTGTATGTTCACATAAAATATATAAATCGAATTGTTATACAGCCTTCATGAACTTATAGTTAAATTGAATCGGACTTAAGTTATTTTTATAATTAATTGAGAAATGTTTGAACTTATAAAATATCAAATAAGACTTTTGTTTGAGGTACAATTTCAAAGCTTTATTCTGAACATTATTTAAATAAATAAGCAAAAATGCCCTGCTCTCCCATGTATGCTTGTTTTAAATGAAAAGCAATGAATAACAGTTTTGTCTTATGTCCTGTTTCTTTATGTGTTTCAACAGGAGTGAGTGTCTCAGCCAATCAGGATGATGAGACAGACATGGAGACATTTCAAATGGAAATTGATAAAGACACAAGAAAGTGCAAATTCAGAACTAATGAAGGGAATTACTGGACGCTTGTCGCTCATGGAGGCATCCAGTCAACAGCCACAGAAGCGTAAGATTTAGCCTTACTTTCAAAATTTTCAAAACAAATGATTCTTTTCCACTTATTTAAGATATGACATGAGGGCAAGCAACATTACTATTATGTAACTATGATAAAATGCATCCACAACATCTATAACACAGCAGTGATATAACAGAAATTGTAACGTTATATCATTTGCTCCTGTTCTCTGTGGGTGTACATGTTTTATTAACACTTATATATACGATCTCCCACTGTGTGCAGCGGTGCCAACACCATGTTTGACATAGTGTGGCTCGGTCGACGGGTGGTACTGCGAGCCAGCAATGGAAAATACATATGCACTAAGAAAAATGGCCAGCTTGCTGCAGTCAGTGACTCTGTGGGTGAGTTCATACTGATACTACCCACAAACAAAATCAAAATACATGTATCTAAATCAAATCTATTTGAGAAACGTACAAGAATACAATAAGTCACCCTGTTTTTTCGTCCAGGTGAGGACGAGCAGTTGATTCTGAAGTTGATCAATAGGCCCATTCTGATCCTGAGGGGAGAGAATGGTTATGTTTGCCACCACAAGAACTCTAATACACTGGACGCCAATCGTTCAGTCTATGACATATTTACACTGCAGTTCAATGACGGCACATACCACATTAAAGGTAAGTTTTAATCTGACCACATTGTCAATCATTTTTATTCTGTATGTCCTGTAATAATCCTAAAGCAGGTTTCTGGAAAGCAAACAACAGCTTTTATTTCCTGGAATTGATTTATGTTGTAATCAGTTGTCAAAAGTGTCAAAACAATTAATCTGCTGAAATTGATTTTCAAGAAGACTAGTTTACTTGTAAGAGGGCATGCAGTAGGCCTGTTTTCTTATAACCATAAAACTAAAATACATTATGGACATTATGAGCTATACCAAATGTTAGATCATAGAAAAAGAGTTTTACAGTTTTACGCCCTTCAATTAACTTCTAGAATCTGACTCGATTAAGTCATTATTCAATGTAATTTTATGACAATAAAACTAGAATACAACATTATGAAATACAGCAAATGTTAGATGATGGAAAAATAGGAATATAGAGCTTTTTCAGGCAATGTTACAGCTATACAACGATTGTGAAGTTTAGCTAAATTGAATATGGCTCGATTAAGTTATTATTAAACATAATCTGTGTCAGAAATATCCAAATATATTTAATTAATTTACCAGATGGAAATGGTTTTCATGGGAACTGATTTATCTACATACAGTATTTTCTTATACAAATAAAAGAATAATACAATATTGTATACCAAATGTTAGGTGACAAAAAAGTGAATTTCAACATTCAACATTTTAAATATGCAAAAAAAAAATTTTAAATATAATTTTTAGCATTTTGTAATTTTTTCTTGTGCTAATGAAATTAACCAGAGTTCAAGACATTTATGTTATGAAGCTGACCGGTATTAATTTCCTATAGGTGCTGGTGGAAAATTCTGGTATGTGTCCAACAGTGGCTTGGTGTGCACTGAAGGAATATAGAGCTTTTTCAGGCAATGTTACAGCTATACAACGATTGTGAAGTTTAGCTAAATTGAATATGGCTCGATTAAGTTATTATTAAACATAATCTGTGTCAGAAATATCCAAATATATTTAATTAATTTACCAGATGGAAATGGTTTTCATGGGAACTGATTTATCTACATACAGTATTTTCTTATACAAATAAAAGAATAATACAATATTGTATACCAAATGTTAGGTGACAAAAAAGTGAATTTCAACATTCAACATTTTAAATATGCAAAAAAAAAATTTTAAATATAATTTTTAGCATTTTGTAATTTTTTCTTGTGCTAATGAAATTAACCAGAGTTCAAGACATTTATGTTATGAAGCTGACCGGTATTAATTTCCTATAGGTGCTGGTGGAAAATTCTGGTATGTGTCCAACAGTGGCTTGGTGTGCACTGATGGAGACACACCTGAAGATTTCTGCTTTGAGTTCTTAGAGCATGGACGGATAGCTATAAGGGGCAAAAATGGCAAATATCTGCGTGGAGACCAAGGAGGCAATCTGAAAGGCAATGGAGAGAATGCAGACAGCTCTTCCCTCTGGGAATACTGACACCATGTGGACATTTAAGTAACTGTCACTCACCTGTGTTAAACTCTTGGATTTACTGATGTCAGAAAATAAATTGGTACAATTAAGGTTTAATATTTGGACATCTGTTTTCCCATATTTTTGCATTTAATGTAGAGTCAGTATTTAGCATTATGCATGTATTATTTACAATTTCTGGTTTATAGTCCTATACAAAATGAGACTGTATAAACAGAATACAAACATGACAAGAACCTTTATCATATCAGTTCACTATTGCACACTGTTAGGAAAAATGTGTGAGGTAATGATCTTACATAAAACTCGCAAAGCATGCTATTACTGTGGCAAATCACTTTTATCATCTCTGTTCATTTTCAAATTGACACATTATATTTCATTACTGCTGTTTTTGTTTATTACTTTTTTTTATTTTAATGACCCATTATTGTCTTGTCTTTCATGCTATTATTTATTATAATGTTAATGTTTGTCAGTTCCAGTGAAGCTTGTTTCATTCTCTGGGGTTACAGACTGCTGTGTTTGTAATGTATGGACATACATGGCATTTAAAATATATTTAGGCCTGGTAAATTAACTCTTCTTGTTGTTTCTTTAAGCTAACTAGCAACTGACAGGGAAGCCAAGCAACCAAGAATAGAACAGGATACACAGTAATTACTCTGTCTCACCGAAATTAAAGGTACCAGGATTAAATTCATTTTATTCCCTATTGTGATTTATTTGCTTTCTCTTGCTTAAGACCATCTGGAAAGGTTTTACAGTTATTACAATAAAAGCCTGTCTCTTAATTCTGGAAGAATGAATCTCATTTACTGTAACCTGGTTTTAGGTGAAACAAATGGATTGGTTCTGTTCTGAATTTAATTGGCTGCCGAGGCATCAGAACTGAGTCAAGCAGCATTTGCTGTTGCTGTGTGCACAGTTCACATTACTACCGACAGAGAGAACCAGCACTGTTTGTAGAGACTTGCATGTCTTGCTATACAAATAAACTGCTGGTAGCTAGTCAATAAGATAATAATTTGAAACCCAATACTTCTCTATAGGCTACTTGTATACTATTGTTAACCAGTTTCAGAACAGCAGCCTTACAGAGAACATGGTAACCAGTTTCCATTTAAATAATGTAACTGACATGTCCTCCATATAGCTTGTTTAGGATTCCCAAAATTTGCAACAGTGCACTGTTCTCTATGCGATCATATACAATGAAGAAAACGGTTTTGGTAAAGATACAACATAATCCTACTGAAATTATTTTCAGTATTGTGAACAGTTGATAAAAAACATGAAAAGGTCTCATGTGCCTTATAAACGTTTAACACTTATGAGCAAGACACAAACACTATATTGGCCAATTCACCAAAGAGCTCTAATAAACCACAGTACAGTCTCTGTGCAAAAACAAGCGAGTAAATTATGTGTTCCATAAAATGAAAGTTACTTTATTATTAATGTAACTATAATGTATGTAATGTAATGTTACATATAATAGTTCTAATGTATACATATGCAGTTATGTAGGATGTTCTCGTTCTGCGCATGCGTGGAAGGATGGATACGCTGTAGCCAATCAAAACTCGCGCTCTAAAATTTAAACTACCGGAAAACAGACAACAACAAGCAAGCCAAGCGTGTCTCGGTCCTCTGTCTTATTATTTTACTCTCCATATTCCAGAAAATGGATCTTAGTAGTGACGACCAGACTAAAATGTACTTGTATGAGAACAGACTTCAAACATTCGTTGGTTGGCCGTTTGAAGAGGGCTGCATTTGCACTCCAGAAAACGGGAGTAAACCCTTTGATCCGTCAAGATGGAAAAAATAAAACATTTGTTTTGTAGGTGCTGAAATGCAGTGTTTTCATCTTTTACACTGTTTTTTTTTCTCTATAGATGGCCAAAGCTGGATTTATTCACACCCCGTGGGAGAATAGTCCAGATACAGCGCAGTGTTTCTTCTGTCTGAAAGAGCTGGAAGGATGGGAACCTGAGGATGACCCTGAGTGAGTCCGTGTCTGTTAAACTTTCCACTGTTGCATTTGAGAGCTGAGAGAGGCTTTGTCTGTGTAACTTAATGGAATAAGACTCGGATTTAAAGTCAGGGTTATTTGATTTATTAAATGTCATCAGTTCTCTTGTTATGTATTTTGTTCCTGATGCACTGTGGTTTTCTTGCATTATCAGGAAAGAGCATAAGACACATTCTCCTACCTGTGAGTTTATCTTGCTGAAGAAGACTGTGGATAGTCTGACTGTGGAGGAGTTTCTGAAACTTCAGAAAGAGAGACAGGAGTTTATCATCGTAAGTATGAGCTCACTGACAGATAATGTAGTCACATTTATTTATATAGAACTTCAATACATTCAGTTTCAAAGCAGCTTATAAACGGGAACATAAATGTTCATCTTTTAAAATTCACCAATTATGAAACAAATTAAATTTTTAGCTGCAAAGCAGCTCTACAAAAAAAGAATAGTGTCATTATTCAACGCAAATTAGTTTCATGTTGTTTCAGTTCAATATGTGTCCGTGTAGTGTTTTATAGCAAACTCTAACCATAAAACAATTTTTGTTACTTGAAATTTAAATAGATTTTAACAGAAATAAAAGTTGTCAACGCAACCTTTCTCATTTTCATTTAGTTTATCTTGATGTACTAAAATAAATAACATTTAATATGTCTTAGACTACACACTAAATAAGAAAATGACAATCACACAATAAAATTACTAAAACAGAAAATGTAAAATAAAAACTAATTCAAAATATCTATAAAAACTATAATGGTATCTAAATTATACTAAAATAACCCTGTGTCAATTTTGCAAAATTCATCAATTGAAACAAGTTAAATTCAGCTATAAGCACCTTTACAGAAGGCAACGGTGTCATTTGTAAGGCAATAACTGTCATTCATCTCAATGTTCAATGTTGATTCAGTTCAGTATTTCAAAGTTAGTGTAATTATCCAGCTTAATTCAGTTCAAATTTTGTTATCATCAGGTAATATCAGTGCAGTTAAATCAATGAATATTAATTTATCTTAAAACCAAAACTCAGCATGCCAAAAGTTACATGGGCAAGGAATCATGTCTATCAGGTGACAGTATTGGACAAGATTTTTCAATTGCCCCCCAAATTGTTAGTCATGGAATCCCTGATATCTGCTCCGCTGCAATTGGAGCGTTTAGCCAAGCGCTAAATACCCTCAACGTGTTTTTGCAGCGTTGAGCAATGTAACCAATCACAGACATATCTGTTGATTTCTTAAACAAAATGGCCAATCAGAAACGTTTTGTCACAATTCACTCACCGCTGAAAGCGCCACAGTTTTGCACGCTCATGATTCATCTCCTGACTAAGTGCAGACGCGATGTAAATAAGAGAATCATTGTGCAGTTTAGAGAGCTTCATTGATTATAACGGAACTTTGTAAGATCGCGATGAACGAAGATGAGTGACGCTTTTTAGTGATAAAGGGAGCGAGCTTTGCGCACTTTCTAGGGTATCCATTCCGAATTTGTATGAAACTTTCGTTTTTCGGACACATAGGCTACACCCTGCAAAGTTTCAGGAATGACATCCGCATATTTATGCGGGATTCGCTCTCGAAATAGCAGTGATTGGCAATGGACGGAGCATAAAATATGTTGATTTAATTCTGGAACCGGTCCTGGCCAAACCTCCACAGACAGCGCGCATCCCAAGCGAGATCTAGCCTAATTCACGGACCAAAAGCGTGTGTAAACTTTAATCAACCAGTAATTTAATTTCATTTCCAGTAACGGACAGTAGAAAGTTCAACAATGAATGGTATGCGATTTATGACAGAATATAGTCCCACAACAGATCGTTTATTTTTTCCTCACGTGTTTCGCCTATGGTAACAACGATTCAAAACGGAAACATTTCAAGTAACACGGGAAAAAGACACGGAAAACTTCAGTGAACATCAGAAAAGCAGCGTGCACATTTCTGGTTAAAAATGAAAGGCCAT